GCTTTTTTGGAGCAGCTTGTCGTAATGCCTGTTAGGGAACAGGCAATTCTGGATTTGATGATGTGTAATGATGCAGACTTGATTAGGGAGTGGAAGGTAAAGGAACCCCTAGGGGGCAATGATCAGAATCATAGAATTCACCCTGCAGTTTGAGAGGGAGAAGATTGAATCAGATGTAATGGTATTACAACTGAGTAAAGGTAACTACAAAAGCATGAGGGACGAGCTGGCCAGAGTTGATTGGAAGGGGAGCGCAGCAGGGAAGACAGTAGAGCAGCAAAGGCAGCAGTTTCTGAGTGTGATTCAGGATGCACAGCAGAAATTTATCGCAAGGTAAAAGCAAGGGGAAGGGGAAGATGAGGCAACCATGGCTGACAAGGGAAGTCAGGATGAAAGACCAAGAAAAAAACGTACAGTGTGGTGAAGATTAGTGGGAGGTCACTGGATTGGGAAATCTTTAAAAACCAGCAAAGGATAACTAAAATACTAAGATAGCAATAAGGTGATGGAGAGTTGAAAAAATCAAATATGAGAATAAGCTAATAATGTAAAAGAAGATTACAAGAGTTTCTTTAGATATCTAAAAGGTGAGTGAGAGGCAAGAGTGGACATTGGGCCACTGGAAAATAAGGCTGGAGAAGTAGTAATGGGGAACAAAGAAATGGCAGAGGAACTGAATAGGAACTTTGCATCAGTTTTCACAGTGGAAGACACCAGCAGCATACCAAAACTTCAAGAAAGTCAGGGGGAAGAGATGAACGTAGTGGCCATCACTAAGGAGAAGCTGCTGGGGGATGTTGAAAGGTCTGAAGGTGGATAAATAACCTGGACCAGATGGACTACATCCCAGGGTTCTGAAGGAGATAGTTAAGGAGATTGTAGAGGCATTGGTGGTGATCTTTCAGGAATCACTGGAGTCAGGAAGGGTCCCAGAGAACTGCAAAATAGTTAATGTAACAGCCCTGTTTAAGAAGGGAAGCGGCAGAAGACAAGAAACTATTAACTAGTTAGAGTGATGTCAGTCATTGGTAAGATTCAGAGTCCATTATTAAGGATGAGATTGCAGTGTACTTGGAAGTGCATGGTAAAACAGGGCTGATCACCGCGGCTTTGTCAAGGGGAGGTCATGTCTGACAAATCTGTTTGAATTCTTTGAGGAGATAATGAGCAAGTTAACAAAAGGAGAGCCAGTGGTCATGATCTATTTGGATTTCCAGAAGGCTTTTGACAAGGTGCCATGCAGCAGATTAGTAAATAAGATAAAAACAGCCCATGCCATAGATTGGGCATCAGCAGACTGGCAGAAAACAGAGAGTAGGGATAAAGGGTCTTTATTCAGGATGGCAGCTGGTGACTAGTGGACTTCTGCAGGGGTCAGTGTTGGGACCATTCACGTTATACATTAATGATCTAGACAAAGGAACTGGGGCCATTTTTGCAAAGTTTGCAAATGACTCAAAAATAGGTGTGGAGGGACAGGTAATGTCGAGGAAGTGTGAGGCTACAGAAGAATTTGGACAGGCTAGGAGAGCAGGCAAAGAAGTCGCAAATGGAGTACAAGGTGGCAAAGTGTGAGGTTATGTTTTAAGTAGGAAGAATAGTGGTGTAGACTGTTTTCTACATGGGGAAGGGGTTCGGACATCTGAAGCACATAGGGACTTGAGATTCCTAGTTCAGGTTCTCTTAAGGTTAAAATATAGGTTCACTTAGCAGTTAGGGAAGCAAATGCAATGTTAGCATTCATTTCAAGGGGGTTAGAATACAAGAGCAGGGATGTACTGCTGAGGCTCTGTAAGGCTCTGGTCAGACCGCTTTGGGAATGTTGTGAGCAGTTTTGGGCCCCGTATCTTAAGGAAGGACATGCTCGCCATGCAGAGGGTCCAGAGGAGGTTTACAAGAATGATCCCAGTGATGAAGGGTTTGTCATTTAAGGAGCAGTTGAGGAGTCAGGGTCTGAACTCGATGGAATCTAGAAGGATATGGGGTGATCTGATTGAAACTTACAGGATTTTGAGAGGCCTGGATAGAGTGGATGTAGGGAAGATGTTTCCACTAGTAGGAGAGACTAGGACGCAAGGGCAGAGCCTCAGAGTGAAGGGATGACCATTTAGAACTGAGATGAGGAGGAATTTCTTCAGCCAGAGAATGGTTAATCTGTGAAACTTATTGCCAAAGAAGGCTGTGGAGGTTAAGTCATTGAGTGTATTTAAGACAGATAGATAATTTCTTGATTGGTGTAACGATATGTGCATTGAGAGGGCTTTGTCTGCCCTAGTCCTTTTGAGGGAATTGTTATTCACCTGGTGCTGAGGTGTTTGTTCCATGGAAAGCAGTGTAAATAGATTTGGGTTTTTTTTAAAAGTAGACTAAAAAAGCATGAGTGGGTGGAGGCAGGCTCACATAGATATGGGTTTTAGTTTTTGCTTTCAGTTGTTGAAGTTGCATTTTTGGAGTTGAAGCTGGTAGTGGCAGCTGTCTCTTTACTACTGCAAAAAGCTTGAGTTCCCTCTTGGAGATAGCAAGAACTGGAGTCAGGGTGGAGCTGGAGGAACACAGCAGGTCAGGCAGCATCAAAGGAGCAGGAGAGTTGATGTTTTGGGTTTGCACCCTTCACCAGGACTGGGGAAGGGGAAGGGAGCTCAGAAATAAATAGAGGGAAGACAGGGTGGGGCTGGGGGAAGGTAGGTGGATGCAGGTCGGGGTTGCGGACATGGGTCATGAGAAGGGTGGGGCAGATAGGTGAGAAAGAGGATGGACAGGTTGTGTCACGTAAAGGAGGCGGGAGTGAGAGGGAGGGATGGACATGGGAGGAGGTCAGGAGGTGGGGGGATTTTGCAGCTGGTGAATTCTATGTTGAGGCCATTGGGCTGTAGGCTCTTGAGGTGGAATATGAGGCACTGCTCCTCCAGTTTACAAGTGGTGTCATTATGACACTGGAAGAGGCCCAGGATGGACATGTCACCCAGGGAGTGGGAGGGGGAGTTGAAATGGTTCGTGACCAGAAGGTGTTGCTGATTATCGCGCACGGAGTAATCGGTCACTGAATCTGTGCTTGGCCTCACCGATATTGAGGAGACCACATCAGGAGCAATGGATACAGTAGACCAGGTTGGAGGATGTACAGGTGAGTCCCTGTTGGATTTGGAAAGATTATTTGGGGCCTTGGACGGGGGTAAGAGGGGAGGTGTAGGGGCAAGTGTAGCACCTCCTGCGGTTGCAGAGAAAGGTGCCGGGGGTGGTGGGGTTAGTGGGGAGTGTGGAGCGGATAAGGAGTCGCGGAGTGAGCGGTTGCTACAGAAGGCAGATCAGGGTGGGGAGGGAAATATCTCTCTGGTTGTGGGGTTGGATTGTAGGTGGCGGAAGTGGTGTAGAATGATATGCTAGATGCGGGGCTTGATGGGGTGGTATGTGAGGACCAGGGAGATTCTGTCTTTATTTTTGTTGGGGGGATGGTGTTTGAGGGCAGAAGTGTGGGAAATGCAAGAGATGTGGTTGAGGGCATTTTTGATCACCGGAGCAGGGGAAATTGTGGTCCTTGAAGTAGGAGGACATCAGGAATGTCTGAGAGTGGAACATTCCATCTTGGGAGCAGGTGCAGCAGAGGCGGAGGAATTGGGAGCATCCCACGTCTGCTCCCAAGATGGAGCGTTCCACTCCCGGACATTCCTGATGTCCTCCTACTTCAAAGTTCACAACTTTTCCCCTCCAGCGATTTACAATACCCTCAACTGCATCTCTTCCATTTTCCACACTTCTGCCCTCACATACCCTCCCCCCAACAAAAATAAAGACAGAATCCCCCTGGTCCTCACATATCACCCCACCAACCTCCGCATCCAGCATATCATTCTACACCACTTCCGCCAACAACAATCCAACCCCACAACCAAAGAGATATTTCCCTCCCCACCCCAATCTGCCTTCTGTAGGGACTAATCACTCCGCAACTCCCTCATCTGTTCCACCCTCCCCACCAATCCCACCACACCTTATGTTCCACTTTGGGAGCCTACAGCCCAATGGCCTCAACATAGAATTCACCAGCTTCAAAATCTCCCCATCACCAGCCTCTTTCCATGTCCATCCCTCCCTCCTTGATGTGACACAACTTGTCCATCTTCTTTCTCACCTATCTACCCACCCTTCCTGTGACCTATCTTCATAGCCCCCTACCTATATTCAACCTACCTTCACCCAGCCCCACCCCACCTTCCCTCTATTTATTTGAGCTCCCTTTCCCCCTCCACAATCCTGACGAAGGGTGTAACCCTGAAACGTCAACTCTCCTGCACCTCTGATGCTGCCTGACCTGCTGTCTTCTTCCAGCTCCACACACTATTAACGTTGAGTTCTCTCTCTGCAGCTAGATTCATTCTTTCAATGTTCCTTCTCCTGGACTGGAGGAGATAGCAAGTGAAGGAAATCAGTTTTGCTGAACTTGCCTTTGACAAGGGTGTGTTTATGGGATGCTGCTGTATTAGAAAAGTTGATGAGTAGTAGTTAAATAACATATTATTTAGTTAAGTATTTCAATAGTGTTATGCCAATTTTTTTTGTTAGTATTCTAACTGTGGTGTAAGAGTAGTGTAAGGATAAAGCATGCTTTGCTTAAAGCCTAGTAGTTTGACTAATCAAATCACATCTGAAATACAGTACATTTCATAAAAGTTAGGGTGGAGGCTATATCTTTTTGTTTTGAGGGGGGTTTGGTCTGGTCCAGTCCATAATAATTGGTAAAGAGATCAAGGGTTACAGGAGGAAGGCAGGAGAATGATGTTGAGAAAGATATCAGCCAAGATTGAGTGGTGGAACAGACGCGTTAGGGCACAGGGCCCATTTCTGCTCCTATATCTTAGGGTCTTACAATGGAACAGGTTTGATGAGCAGAATAGCCTACTCCAGTCCTAATTCTGCCTCTGCTGCCCCACACACACATTTCTGAGAATGTATAGTTATTTAATGTATCCAAAAAGCTGGTTAACACACCTCTTGTTTTTCAGGAGGCCCTCAAAGCTGACTACAATAGCTACCTAAGACACCACCCAGAGTTGAGATCATTACTGGCTGACTTCCTGGAGTTTCTCCTCCTGCGGAAACCAGAGGACGTCATCACCTTTGCTGCAGAATATTTTGCCCCTTTCTCCGCCTTCCACACAGAAGGAAATGCCTTCCTCACCTCAAACAAGCCAAGCCCCTTCAAAGAACGGGAAGGACCTTCCAAGAAGGGGAAGATTTAAAGTGAAAATTTTGTTGTTACGCTAATTGCTTTTTAACCACTGACATTTGTGTAGCACTTCAACATATTAAAGTAGCCCAAAGTGCTTCTCACTTCATGTAATTTGGCAGTGTCACAAGATATCCAAAATGTTTTGTTTTAAGAAAACATCTGGTGTCTCCATGCACAGCTTCAGATCACATAGGAAAGAAAATCAAAGTGCAAATGTCTAGAAGTAACTGTGTGCAGAGATTGCAAGAACTGCAGATGCTGGAGTCAGTAGATATTCTGGAGCTGGAGGAACAGGAGAGTTGATGTTTTGGGTCAGTCCTGATGAAGGGTCCCAACCCACAACCTCAACTTTCTTGTTCCTCTGATGCTGCCTGGCCTGCTGTGCAGAGGTAAAGTTACAAAAGCTGGTGAGGCAACCAAAGATGAGAATTTTATTTAAGACATTTCTAGATCAGGAGTTAATGCAGTATAGCAACAATCCACTCAGACTTGCTCCTATATCCCAGGTACTTGGGAATCTAAGTGCAGCTAAACCATGACATACTTGCATTAACCCCTATTAAAGCCCACAATTTGGAGGGAACCAATAGGATGGTGATTTTGAGTTGAAAACATGCATGCTTTTACTTGACACCACAAATTCTGATAACATTGGTGTTTGATCCTCATCAGGTCATTGTAAAGGAGACAAATTTTAAAGATAGCAAATGAGCAAAGAAGCTGTTTAGAACTAGTGCCTTTTCTAACCCAGCCCTGGTTTCATTCCGATGAATGATACTTGAAGCTGGGTTGATGTATTATAAACATGTCACTCAATCCTTACCTGGTTAGGAGGTAAATATTCACTCAAATGGAAGGGGAAGTCAGAAGTCATACCTTGAATTCTAGCTCACCTGTGGCCAACGCTTGGGGATAGTGACCATCCCAAGGATCCTGGAATTTCACAGGAACAAAACAAAAAGCAAACTTTGAAGGGAAGACTGATAATTGAAAGCAAAGTGCCATTACTAGCAGATGCTTTTTCCACCCCCCCCCCCCACCAACAGATGTTTCACATCGGTATTTCATACATCTTTAGTTCACAAATGTTCACTTACAAGTGAATCATGCTGATTACTCATGAGATGCAACTGTCTCAGTGGGCTCATCAGTATTTATTATCCATCCCTGATGGGGAGGTGGCAGGTTCCTGTGGTACAGTGGTAGTGTCCTTACCTCAGTTACAAGACCTGCATTTAAAGGCCCACCTGCTCTGGAAGGGAGTGTAATAACAATCACCAAAATGCTGTTTGGTGAATCTGAAGTGGTGAACTGCTTCAGTCCACTTGCAGTAGTTAACCTGATGACCCAGTGCAGTGTTGAGTGAATGAACACATTCCCATTTAGCTGCTGTTCCCCACATCTTTCTAGATGGTAGCAGTCATGGGTCTGGAAGGTGCTTTTGATGTCTAAGGAACTGGAGACATGCTTAGTGATTGTGCTACCCAACCAGGGGTGGTAACAAACCTGATGTCAAGTCTACCTTCACTGACCTAGTAGTAATGGTTGTCCTCTCCCAGAAGAGAAAAGGTGTTTGAGAAATCTGTAGAATATCCTCATGGCCAGTTACAATAGTAGTTTGTTTTCTGCCTGCATGGTTGATTTTGGGTTGTGGGAATTAGTGACCAAATGCCAGGAGACCAGAACATGCATTTACACAAATTGCTTAACTGACAATAAGTAGTCATCAAAATTAAACTAAGTTTTGTCATTGGCCCTAAAAAGAAAACAGAACAAACACTGGGTTATGATAATATGCTGTAGTTGGTACATTACACTGAATGTGCTGAGAGCCAGAATTGGATTAAGACCCATCACTAACCAATACAGATAAAGCTTTATTCAAAAACATAAAAACATCTTCAATCAAGTTATATCAAATCAGGATTCACAATGGAGGAGTCTATTCTAGCTGTTTTAGCAGATCCTCTGAAGACAACAGAGAGCATTCTGAACTTCTTGGCTGGTGATGGTGTGTCTCTTGTTGTAGAGAGATAGCCTGGCAGCCTCAGTGGCTATCTGGTCAAACAGGGATGACGACAACTTCATCTGCATCAACTCCTTAGAACTCCTGTTTCCTGGATGGGCCTGTTTTTAAAAAGTCCTGAATGAGACAAAAGTAGATGCAGCACAACAAAGTTGACTAGGCTAGCCATCATCTACAGAAGGTAGATGTCAGGTGTGTGATTGAACACACTTTGATAATGTCAGACAAAGCTAAATCCAAGTTTGACCAACATTAGGTGGCATTGTAGACAGATGACTAGTGTCAAAGGGGACATTTGGCCCATTAAGTCTGCACCAACCCTCTGAAGAGCATTCCATGTGAATTTTTTCCTTTCTGCCAGCAGTAGGCAGATTAGGTAAAATCTGGCAGATTTGATTTTTAAAAAAAAAAACACCTACATCTGGGATGGTAAGAACTGCTGATGCTGGAGTCAGATAACAGTTGAGCTGGAGTAACACAGCACACCAGGCAGCAGAGGAGCAGGAAAGCTGACATTTTGGTCAGGACCCTTCAGAAATGGGTGATGGGGAAGGGAGCTCTGAAATAAATAGAGAGGAGGGGTGAGGCTGGGACAGGTAGGTAGGATGATGAAAGGTGAGTGCAGTAGAGTGGTGGGGATTGGTCAGTGAGGGAGGAACAGATAGGTGGGAAAGACAGGTCAAGGAGGCAGGGTTGGTCATGGGATGTGGCCAGGGTGGGGGAGATTTAAGCTAGTAGAGTCCATATTGAGACTATTGGGTTGTAGGCTTCCTACCTACATCTGTCTACAAACAGATGCCTTGAATACACTTTCCTATTTCAGGTGACTAGCTATCCAGCTTTTGCTCCCCTCATCCAAGTTATTGATTTTAATGTGTAGAGGTTCCAGGTACAGACTTGTGGTAGTCCATTATCTTGTAAACACATTCACACTTTGCTTTAAGTCTATCCATGCCCTTTAACTCTACACCATGGATAACTCTTGCTTTTTAAAAAGTGCTACACAAGTCAGTCTATAATGTCCTAACAAGTTTGGATTGCATTCAGTGTATTGCTAAGGATCATAGAATCCCTACAGTATGGAAACAGGCCCTTCAGCCCAACAAGTCCACACCATCCCTCATAACCCACCTAACCTACACATTGCTGAATACTATTGTTAGTTTAGCATGGTCAGTCCACCTAGCTTGCACATCTTTTGTATGTTGGAGGAAACCCGAGCACCCAGAGGAAACCCATGCAGACTGGGAGGATGTGCAAACTCCAGAGTCACCCAAGGGTAGAATCAAACTTGGGTCCCTGGTGCTGTGAAGCAGTACTAACCACTGTATGCACAGCACATTCTTCAGAGATTTGTTAGCTGCAATTCCTTTTACTGGAGAAAAAAAAAGGCTTTTCTACTTCCTATTACAGGGATTATATTTCATCACCCAGATGATTCTAGTCTCTCCTTCAAGTGGGCAGGGGTATATTTGCTACATTACAGTCTGAGGGCAAGTTCCTGAATCTACAAAACTTTATCAAGTTACTGGTGTCTGCTCAATCATTAGCAATTCAAGAGGCTTGAATGAATGCCATCTGGACCCGAAAGGGTTTATAATTCCATCTGTTTGCCCATCATTTCCCTGGAAGGAAATTTCACCAAGTTCCTCCCTTCTAAGCACAATTATTTCTGAAGTGATTTAATCCTCTAAGAGGGAGAACCACCAACCGTCTCATGTTCTATTTCTTCATCTAAAAAAAGTGGTCTTGTTGTTTCCTACCCTGGGAGGGCCACTTCATTTGTTTGACTTTTTCCATAGTTTCAATACCAACTTAGCCTACATTTTGTAATCTGAAGAGGCTCCTCTATGCCCAGTTGTGCTTGTTCAAGCTTGAGACCATCCCTGACTTTAGTTGGATGTTGATTTGGATTATTTGGAGTAGGAATATGCTCAGTGTTCTGAAACACCACCCCCCCCCCCCCCCCCTCCACCCCCCCCCCCCCCCCCCCCCCCCCCCCCCCCCCCCCCACCAGAGTCTACCACTGTGGATTGATCACCCCTTAGCCTGTCTATTTCATTTCAAGCAGGTCTGGAGGGAGCAGGCAAAAGAACTATTTGAGACTCCACCCAGTGTTTAGGTAACAAGTGCCTGGCTAGAGTGACTCCATACTATTTGGAAAGGAGCACAAGCGCACACTCAACATGTGGGTGCATCACTGGCTAGACCTACATTTATTGGTTCAATGGGTTGAGGAGTGGATGATAGAGTTGAGTTTGAATAAATGAAATCTTGTTTCTTTTACAAAAATAAGAGAACAGGACTTATTGGTAGGAACCTGGGTGGTGTTTTCAAACCAACTAGTGGGTCAGGTAAATAATTCCTTGGACGTTGCATCTCAGGTAAACCACATTTAAAGGTGTTAACATATTGCCTACATTACTAAGAAGTTCACAATTAGTATTTGGGATGTCATTTCAACATTGTTAAGACCTCTAGAGTACTGTGTGCAGTTCTCATTACCCTGCTAAAGAGAAGGATATTAAATTGGTGGGGGGTTCAGGAGAACTGCTCGAGTTACAAAGAAAGGCTGGGACTTAAATACCTGAGCACAAGAGGCTGACGAGAGACCTTAAAGGGTTAAAGTGATCAGGGGCATCAATAAGGTGATCAGCCAAGGTCTTTTCCCTAGAGTGGAAAGACCAAAACTAGGTGCATATTTTTAAACAAAGGGGGAAAATATGAGAAGGTGACTAGGGACAGCTTTTTGAAGCAAATACATCATGGTTCCTATGGAATGAACTTCCAGACAAAGTGGTGGAAATAGATATCTTACAACATTCAGGCAAGTACATGAATAGGAAAGGGTTGAGGGATATGTGTCAAACACAGGCAAGTGGGCCTAGTTTAGTTTGGGAACAATGAGCTAGTCAGACCAAAGGGTCTGTTTCCATCCTGTATGACTCCATAGCCCGTTTCCAATTGTCCATGAAAGTAGCAGTGGGCCACATGTAGTCTCTAGTGAGGAGAAGTTCTATGCTACCCAGCTACCCTTATTGTTCAACCATTAGTTAGGAAAGTTTAATATTTGTGTAATGATGCA